AAAATATAGCGAGATTGTCTTAGTGTATAATTTTTATGTTATTAACAAAATTCATATTGTGCATGCTATATACATTCTTTTTCACCATAATTATACTCTTACCTTATAAAACACATGTATGGTTTAACAATATAAAGTATTAAGAGCCTTTTCACATATAAATGTTGCAACAATATTCCAACAACTATAGTTCGATAAACATCCATATAAAATGTGCTTAGCTATTATTTTATTATATTTCATAAGTACATGCAATACTAATTGCTTTTATCGAAATTGGCAGCAAATAAATAAAATATTCAGTCACATACAAATAAAATACATTAACATATTTCAGGAGTTCACATACGAGCAAAAATGCCCAGATTTTAATTCATTTTACAATAATCATTTAAATCTAATATATTTATTTTACAGCATTATAGTATATCGTTGAAGTCTCACAAACGTACCTTCCAAGAAGTGTTTCAATAGTATTGTGTTTGAGGTAGGTCATATATCATTGCTTTTATACATAGATTGAATTATACCAAAGGATTTTAAAATCATTTTTATTCTTTTGTCTTTGTTAATCAAGATAAATACATGTTTACATAGCATCTATGTTGGAAGGATAATATTTAGGACGCCATGTCACGTAGATCTATCATTACTATTTTGAAAATGTTCATTAATTTATATCAACTAGTATTTTGAAGTGATAGATGATACATATTTTTGTAAAATCATAAACAAATACTTTATTATGAATTTAACTTGCACAAAAACCAAATCTTTTTGATGTGTAATAAACATCATTGCATATAATAAAATAAACAAAATACATGTATAGAAAAAAAACATCTTTGGATTTGGGACTAAATGATAGACATATGGTAAAACAAATGTGAAAATAATATATTATCATGTAAGAAATATACAATGAGATCGTCCGTGACATGCACTGCATCACAAATAAAAACGGATTTCTGTTCATTAAAATATGGATGAAATTAAGAAAACAACAAATTCTGGTATGATTGCGTTGATGATAAATCAATTCATGCTGTATTCCATAGGAAGTTCAAGATTTGTGATATTTTTTATCCAGTCAATGAACTTAAAAACCTCGGTGTAAATTCCAGGAACATTTGGAACAGCACAACCAAGTCCCCATGACGTCACTCCCGCTGCATACCACGTGTCAGCCTCGTTTTCCATAGGACACATCAATGGACCCCCACTGTCTCCCTATAGGTAAATAGTGTGTTATTATCATTTATAATTTTTATGATGGTTTAAAAGAGGTTATCGAGAATCTCATGTACGTTTGTCGACCATGAGAGAGAGAGCAAACACACGGCGGGTGTGAAGGTCGACAGGTGATAGTTACTGCTCCGAGGCACGTGATCCAACCTTTAATATATTTAGAAGTCTTTATTAATATTTCTACAAATTATTTAACATTACTTCAGTATCTTTTACTGAATAGTTAAGATATGACAAAAAAGGCCAGAATTAATAAGCGTCATACATTTGAAACCACTGGCTATGAATCTGATAGCCTTTTGCAAAATCTTTAGCAGTTCACCAAGCGATTTCCAAAAGTAAAAGTTGATGAAAGAGTTACCCTGTTCGCATCCAGTAGATAAGCGTTATTCTAATACGGATGAATATATACACGTATGCCCTGATGAATGGTTGCACATTTCAAACTTCGGAAACTAGCATTTTGTGACACTTACTGTTAGAGAAATAGTCAACCAATCGTATTACAGAAAATCAAAACTGGCATTAAAATTTGAATGAATATTTTCTTAGAGATGGATAGCTTTTTATATCCCCGACTTATGCTGTATACGAAACTTTCAGACTAACAAGATAGTTATTTTATTGCAAGTCATTTGCATAAGAACCATTTTAGCAGAAGTTTAATAAAAACATTCATATATTGTAAAATAAGAAATAAAGTACATGCTGTACGTAGCATTTAGAATTCGCGCTATGAATCTATATATTTATACAATACTGAGTAATTCAGTCAACGGTCAAAAGTCCGTAAATGAGATTTTTTTAAAAGGAAATGTCCCAACCTAAGGATTAATCTATTCATTCCATGTTTATCCTATTTACTATTCCCATATTCACATTTTCGAAAGTTTATCTCGTAGTCTGAGCAGAAATCGGTTTTCTTGTATCTAGGTGATTCATTATAACCACTGTATATAGAGTACTTATATTTCTGTCATATTAATTAATTAAAAACAAATTATACACCCTACGTTTTTGCATGTCTACAAATGAACGAATATAGTCATTGCTACAGATCAGTGGTGATCTTATTGTTCAAGATGTCATTCTGTGTAATCAATATTTTAATACCCTTCATGTAGTCTGTGCTGGTATTTGAGAAGAATCTACATTGCTAGTTTAACTAAAAATCAAAGTATCATATGATTTTATATGACAAATAACTCAGCATATATTTCCACAAATTTTGAATAGATGTCATTTTATGAAAATCCTTGTCCTTCAAAGAAAATATTTCACACAAATTACCAAACATACATTCATATTTGATATTTTCTCATTGAATGTTTAATTAGAGGAATACAGAATTATTAGGCATTGTATTATTAACAAAAGGTCGTAAAGTTATTGAAACCCTTCAATATTACAAGAATTTTAGGTAACAAATGTCAAAACTTCGTTGCGTACATGTATGTCCTTAGTAGGATAAATACTATTGATATATATATATATATATTTCAGATTTAATTAATATGTATGAAAGATAAAATTACTAGTATACTTCAAATCTATTTTGTAAAAAAAACCATATCAAATACAGAATATAATTTTGACTCGCCTGGCATGAATCGTGGCCTCTAGATCCACCGGCACACACCATGTCTTCTGTGAGTTTGTAAGGAGATTGAATACCGGAAGTAGCTATAGCATGCTTGCATCCTTGCCAGGACGCTACATCCAAATTGACTTGTCGCAAGACCGGCTCATAATCAGTAGCTTAATGAAAGAACAAAAATACTCCTAACAGGAACAGAGGCATCATTTTGAATTGTTATAGAAGGTTAATACTTGCATTTACAAAAATATATCTTTTTTTCATTCATCACATCTTTTCAAAATACCCTTATTTAATGCCTATAATGTATAAATGTATTATTTTGAGTCATCTCTCGTTATTCAGATGCTTTAGCAAATATACTTACCCTTTCCATTGACTTTACCCCAGCCTACGGCAAAGCAGCGAGTTCCAACAGCTGTCGTGTTGTCAGGCAAACAAAGGGGCCTAACGTAGTCACTGAAGTACACTGGTGACTCCAGCTGTATCAGAGCTATATCATTCTTTACAGTCTCGGAGGAATACGCCTCGTGGACATGTAACGACTTAGCCTTCTTAAGTTGTCTGTATTTGTTATAAGCAAATCGCCTCGTGTCACCCACAATTATGATTAAATCATCGGTTGTTGTTTTGCTGGAAGAAAATGTTTGATTCTGATAATTTCCAATTATTAGAATTACATCTCATTAAAATTTCACAATGAATGTTTTTTTTCTAATGAAATACAGTATCGGCAAGCTCAAAAGTTCATAAAACAGTTTTGACAAGCTAAGAAGTTCATGAAAGTTCATGAAACATAACAATAATACAAAATAGGAGCAGAGCAAACAAGGACCTCCAAAACATTACAGGTGGGATCAGGTGCCATGGAGGAGTGATCATGCCCTGGCGACAGGTCACACCCGCCGTGTGCTTCTTGTCATGATCAGGAAATAACGGAAAAAATCTGTCGTCAATTCAGTGTGTAAATAATGGACTAACAATTAGTATGAAAAACGGCAGTCAGCATTAGACCCAATGATAAATTGTATTTTTTTGAAAAGGTCATTGTATCGGCAATAGAACTTTCCAAAAATGATAACTTAAAACGAGACTGCTGATATTCTTGTTTCAGCAACTTGTTTATCAATAATTTACATCGTTTTAGAAATGTACTTATGTAGAACATGCTCTTATGTATCGAATCAACTGAGAGATATGAACTCCGTATGCAGATGATGAAGATATATTGTTGCACAAGTAAGGGAAGTTGACGATTGAAAAGTTAAAGACATTACGTTTATCATAGGGCTTGATTGTTAGATTACCATTAACGTCTATTTCAAGTAAATTATCCAAATATGAAACAAATGTGACCGAGTCTGTGGTATCTTTTATCTCAAGCTCGCAGGGATATATCGTCGATATATTATGTCGACATAAGAATGGATACAACCATTATGTTAATTGACGTCGACGGTATATCTAAATGTCAAGTTGAAGGCCACAGCAAGTGTTTTCTTCTTTTCACGGATAAGATTTTGGGAAAATTCTGCTTCATATGAATACAAAAAAAAAGAAACAACTAACATTATTTATTTTAATTCTGAAATTCATGTCCCAGATGCTTTTAAATGACTTACTTTTAACTGCTCTTACGACCTTTGTTATCTAGAATATACATGTAATTTTAACTTCTGGTAGACTTACCCTCCAAGGCAATGGGCAGCGGTAATGACCCAGTTCTGGTTTAAAATGCTTCCTCCACAAAAGTATCGCATTCCTCTGCCTCCATATAGACCCACGTGAAAAGGCCAAGTACCGGGCTTAACTTGTTTTCCATTCACAATACGAAGGGCGGAGGGGAAATGGGCTGGTCGTGTCCCACATACTAAGTAAATATGACAGAACCAATGAAACATTCAAAATTAATATACAGCGTATCTTAAACAAGACGAGAAAAATTGATTGATTATATGTTGTTTAACGTCCCTCTCGAGAATTTTCACTCGTACAGAGATGCCAAGACGAAAAAGAAGCTTTTTAAAAGAGTACTTGCCCGGTATTTCCTGGGAGTTTGAGTCATTTTACTCTTTATATGTAATGCATTTTTATTAGGCAATTCAGTGTCATAACATAATCATTATTTAGATTTGATCTTTTACCCATAAGTAAATGCACAAAAATAAACTTATACAGACAATATAAAAATGCGACCCCAATTGCAAAAACTCCAACAAGAGAAATTCCTTGGTTTTATTTTCTAATTTGTTAAAGTTTAAAATTCTGACAGATTTTGGAGGTCTAAGGCAATTTTGTAACTTGAGTACGAAGTTCTTCATCTTTTTATTTTATTTAATAATTTAATTAATTCATTATAAATTTCCCCAATTAAAATATGCTTACCAGGATTACCACACTCTAAATGGACGACATTGTTTCCGGTACACGTAGAACTAAGATTGAAAAAAAAAATGGATCATCATTTACATGCATGTCATTTCTTTAAGTGTATGTCAATAACTGAAAGTAATCTAATTTTTGAAACCAAATATATTTTTTTAAATTGAAAAGCCATGACCTAAATTACCCTTTTCTTAGGAATGATTGCAACCAATTTGTGTTAGCTGATCCATTTACATTTTGAAAATCCAATTTTGCCGTAGTTGTAGTTTTGGTCTTGAAAATGGTAGTCCTAGTTCCCCTGAAATTGTTAAAATGTCCATACTACATTTAATGAATAAAAGTTTTAGTTGATTCACTGCATATATTCACTTTACAACTTTCAATGAAGAAAAAAGTACAAAAATAATTTTAGAAAAATATGATTTTCAGTTGTGTACATGTTCTTTTTTCAACATATCTTTCCAATGTCATACTAATTTTTTCTTAAATTAAGAGTCCCTTTAATTATTTTTTTTCTGTCTAGATCACTTGCTACGGAGTTTTTTAAAATCGTATTATGCAAGGGTACCTATATCCTAGTTGTTGACAGACAAGGTCACTCAATGTTTCATTCCAATCGTCTGCACACACTTCTTCCCAGTTATCTGATGCCGAGTTGTAAACCAGGATAACGCCACTATCTGATCCGTTCCCCAGTTTTACTGTAAAGAATTACACTATTTATCCTTTTTATTTACATGAAGGTAAGTTTCATTACTTATTTGTTCATCAAATCATAATTAGGCCTAATCAGAGCAAGCTCTTGAGTAGCGAATAATTTGGGCGATATACACACCGTAGGCATGTAAAAGTGGAACAAATAAGGAAAATTGACGACGGAAAAGTTAGTCCATAGCTTTAGACTCATGCCCTTTTTTTTTTTTTTATAATATATTATTCATTTAGGTAAAATACATGTATTCTTCATTTGCAGACAAAGAGTTCAATTTTATGGAAAATATCCATAAAAGTTGTTCATAAAATTCTAATGTTAACATACTACACTCAGCTTCCTCTACTTCCTCATAGCAATCCGGGACACCGTTACAGACCTCAGAGCTCTTGATACACAGACTGGAGGCAGGGTTACATTTATATTCCCCTGTGGAACATGCAGCTGAAAGTACAGAGGTAGGTCATCAGTTACCGGTATACTTATCCACAGAGAAACCAAAATTACAGCTATAAATCGTTGTTTTTTGTTCCACAACAAAACTGGATTTTACAAATGTGGCTTTACAACAGCTGTGTTTTTTCCTAGAAAGAATACTGTTTTTACTTTTAGTAAAGATTTAATATTTCCGAATTATTTTTATGAAAAGGAAATTATTTGCAAGGTGAAATATTTGTCCTAGCTTGTGTCCTCTTTGACCAGAACCAAATTCCTCCCTCCCAAAGACAAAATCACAAATGGATTACTTAAAATATTTAAAAAAGCAATAAAATCTATTCAATTCTACAATATTCCTTATTATAATATGCAAAACCAAATAATATTAAGAAAAATTACCACAATGAGCTTCATCAGAGTTATCTTCACAATCGCGATAACCGTCACACAAGAACGATACATCGATACACCGATCAGTATCACATGATATCTGGTTTGTCTGACATTCTACAGTAAAATCAAATATATTTAAAATAATAGAGAATGCGACGTTATACTTTCTTACTGAAAGACATATGAAATAAACATGTTATGGAAATATATTTTTTTTTAATGAGAAAATTTTTAAAAGAGGAAACATGATAATGACAATATCAAGAAATTTTCGAAATAGGTAAAAACTGGTTTGTGTAAGAGGAAAACTATACGTTTGATTTCTGGGGGTTGGTGAGCCTCGTTGTATCCAATACAGACAGTCGTGTCATTGACATCAGGTAAAGAGGAACACGTCAGATTCTTAGGCCATGGGGTAGAAAAGATCTCCCAGAATATAAAACAGTTCTTCATGTATTCTTAAAATAGAAATTTAGACATATTTTATTTCATAACTATTGCTCCTATGGATTAACTTTATATATGAAAGCATTTAAAAATATACAAGTATGTGTTACGTATGAGTATTTCATATTCTTTAAACTAAATTTAAAGTAACGGTTGGCTACTGAAGAAAGTTATTTCAGTAAAAAATTTAAACAAGGAAATAAGTTGCAAACCTTCACAGAGAGATCTACATGGCGGGATAGTATGATTCGGAACCACTTCTGATCCAGAACATTTCGGTACAAACACGGAACATCCGAACAACTCTGAATGTTTGTAACACTTTGTTAACCTTTTCAATGTGAAAACTAAATCCAGTACCATATTGGGCTTCGGAAAGTTGATTTCGAGATCATAATTTGGAAGAGCAGACTTGGAAAATCCTAAATTAATGCAGGTATTATAATGTTGTCCAAAGGGAACATCAACGCATTTTCCGGCTGAAAAGAAATAAAGCTACTCAGTACAGGTCAGGCTACTTTATATCATGAAGATGATATAGAAAAAAGATTGTATCCTCACGTTTGAATGGGTTTTCTCGGCAGTTGGAGGTTGGTAAACTGTTACAATTTAAAGGAAATGATGTATTCTCGCAGGCTGATTTCACGTCTGGAAAAAAGTGAAGATTTAATGAAAGTCAATTATCAGATTCCTCCTAGGGAAATTTACTACATAAGTCCTCCTAGGGAAATTAACTACATAAGTCACAAACAAGATGTGTTTGTGAAACACTATGCGCCCGGTGGCAACAAAGTTTAAAAAAAACTACCGGTATTTTCAGCAGATAAGTGAAAGTCAAGGTCACAAGGTCATCGACCTTGGTGTCATTTGAAGAACTTCATTAGTGGAGTATGCACACCAAATATGAAGTCTCTATCTCTCATGGTTCAAAAGTTATGGCGAAAATTTTGTAAAATCTATTTTTAGCATATAGGTCACAGTAAAGGTCTAAAGGTCATTGACCTTGGTGTCATTTGAAAGACCGTCATTGGTGGAGTAAGCATATCAAATATGTAGTTTATATCTTTCATGGTTCAAAAGATATGGCGAAAATTCAAAAAAGCTATTTTTAGCAAATAGGTCATAGTCAACGTCACAAGGTCATTGACCTTGGTGTCATTCGAAAGAACTTTATTGGTGGAGTATGCATACAAAATATGAAGTCTGTATCTTTCATGGTTCAAAAATTATGGCGAAGGTTAAAGTTGACAACAGACAGACAGACAAACAGACAGGACAAAAACAATATACGCCTCGGATCTATCGATCCGGGCGCAAAAATATGCATGAATGCATTAAGAATATTGACGATATAATTAAAATGAAAAGTATTATTGCATTATACACATATAGATTCAGCCATCATCATTGGCCATTTTGCTTCATATCTTTATATAAAGAGTTTAAAGACCTTTCACAAGAAGGAAGGAAAATGTTTATTGCTGCAGCTATCGAATATTTGTATTGGAATTTAAAGTGACTGAAACTGAAAAGTAATGGTTTGCTATAAAAAGCAAAACAGTTACCTTCGCAATATTGTTTACATGGCAATACTGGTTGGTTATTTTTGCACTCTGGATTATACGCTGAGCACCAAAAATCTTTAGCATATCCATAACAAAATCCATCGAAAATCTCAGGGTACTTTGACGAAGATTCTGCTACTTCTCCTAGAGTGCTGTGCCCAAATGCGTTTGGAAGGGTTGTCAGGGTGTATGTGGTGTAATTAACACAATGATTTACACTTACTTTAAAGCACTGTCCTAGAAGAAACAAGGTGAATATTTCAGACACAGCTGAAGGAACGTTTGGTTCATAATTTACTACAGTATGTAACCTAGCAAAACATGTAGTTACTGTAGCTTATCGATATATTTTCCCTAAATTCTAATGATTCGTACATGTATGATCCGCAAAGATAAAATTTAACTATTTTGCAAAAGTTAATCCTTGTTGTTTTAAAATGAAAATATACAAAATGGCTGCCATGAAAAAAGTACTGTAGCCGTTCTTTACCTGGTGATACAGAGGGAAGCACAGTTGTTTCATTCCCTACAGAGTAAATAAAAATTATTACTATGCTTACAACTTAAAAACCTTGATATTTACAAAAATTTTGTTGGTCTTTCTTTTCATTTTTTGGTGTCATTTTCCTAATAATTCATAATAAACGTTACTTGGAACAAATAAAAATCATCTTCAATTGCCCCTTAATTGTAAGTAAATCACTTGAAGTGTACCGTAATTCTCGATTAATTATTAATCGGTACTTAACAAGCCATTTATGATTATGTAATTAAGAAACATGATCGGCACGGTGAAAATCAAATGATTTAAGTCCTTTTTAAATAGGTAATTTACGGATAAAGACACCCATAAAACTGACTGAGCGCTGTAATTTTAATGGAATCCGGCGACGCTTGGATCACCCCGCTACCAAGACCGGAAACAAGTAGCGACACCAAAGACGATTCCGTCCAATTGAAGACATTTATTGGCGAAGTGAATTTTATGCTATAGAGGACGCTGGACAATTGCCCATTTCCAGATCTATAATACAAAAAATATATTTATAATAATTAGGACAACTTTTCATCTAAGATAAGATTGTGATTACAGAATAATATAGGAAATTGTTGAATGAATACCTTATCCCGTTAATGATTGTAGAGCTGTACTGTGATCGGAATGGACTCTTTGAAAATATTAATTTCATCTGAAATCATAAAAGTACAAGACTTCATAAAACTTATTGTGCTACTCTCTCTCTCTGAAACCTTCAATACCCGCAGTTCAAAGAAGATAATTTAATTAAGTATTTAAAATCAAAGATCTCGATGCATTACATTTTCTGGTTTATATTAGATAAAAAACATATTGAGATAGTTGCACTTTTGAAACAATCATTCTAGGATATTCTTAAGGTACTCCGATCCTCAGCCAGAAAGGATAACTCTTTACCTTATAATTTAATTCAAAAAGTCTCAAAATGAAGCTTGAAAATTGAATCTTTTCATGCAACAATTTTCATTTCATATCTCTGAATGTGCTTCAAGGTTCTTTGAAGTTCTCAGAAAAGTCTTATAAAAAGTCGGAATTTTTACCCCATAAAAGTATTTTAAAACTAGAGCAAAGCTCGTTGCAAAGCAACGAGTAGGTCTTCCGTCCTGTTTTGACCGGATGTGCCGGATGTGACGTCAACAAAGAAAGCAATGAGCTAAGTCGTCTCCAGTCACTTTATAATTTCAATTTTGCATCAAAACCTTAAAAAATAAGCTATATTTAGCTACTTCCGGTTTGAACAGAAGTGATGTCGACGGACGGAAAATTAAGTTTCATGCTTCCAGTGACATATGTTAACCAAAAACTTGTCAAAAACGGCAAAAATATGCATTTTTTTTTCGACTTCCGGTTTGACCGGAAGTGAAGTCGCAGGACGCATTTTGATGACTTCAATAGATTAAACTTGTCATTTTGAACAACTTTGCTTCTTGGACGTATTACAAATTCTCAATACTTTTTGAGATATCTGGAAAAAACTTTTGGCCCCTCTAGATCCCTTAATATAGGGGCCAGCCCTTTTTTCGAGATATCATTTGAAAGATCTTGCCATTCTGCACAAATTTTGTCTTATATATTTTAACAAAATATTTTTAGTTTAGAAGATAAAAAGCAAAATATGAGTAATTTTTGGCTCTTTTAAGCGTTCTAATTTTTGACCCCTATATAGCGCCATTTTGAATAGAGAAATCGAAAAACAAAAACCGATGTGCACAACTTCAATCCTTCTATTATCTAAAATTAGTAGAATTTCTGCTCCAGCTTTAGCCGTCTCCGAGCCTTTGTCTGGAAACGAAAGCCTATAAATTTTCGTTTAAAGGGAAATAACTCAAAACCGGAAGTGACTTTTTGAAATTTTAGAAAGCATTATGATAGAGTTTAGTAACTTCTAGTACCCCTGAAAATTTTAGCGAAATCAATTCAGAAATGAGTGAGATATGAGGCTTCAAAGTTGGCGTCTAGGAAGTAGAAGAAAAAAAAAAGAATAATAATCTTTACCAACAGAATCAGTAGAAGGTCTTCCGTTGGAAACGGAAGACCTTAATTACATATTTAAAGAAATTGAGATTCAATTTAATCTAACAATAGATATCGGTGTCTATTAACATGATATGAAATTAGAAGTGATTAATGGTGTTTGGCAAAATCTTTTTACACTATGCATTGTAAAAGAATCTAAGTAATGCATTGTAAAAGAATCTAAGTAAATAGAAGAAATAAAAGTACCTTATATATAAAACTTGTGCAATTTCTTAGAAAGCCTGGATACCTGATTTTTATTCCTAAAATGTGTTTGTTGATCAAATTTGAATTGGAAAATGCATATTAGATGTTCTTATTCGCATTTCCTGAAAATTTATTTGAGATTTACTAATTTTCCCTATATACATATGATATGATTAACTTGAGAGATGAAGTTTGAAGAATTATGGTGGGTAAGAACACGCCACTTTAAGAATTCAGAGACATTTTTGTGAGCATTTTCAAATAGACAATGCCTGATTTTCAGAACCTGAGGATTGGAGTACCTTAAATGTTTTCTTTTCCCCATATATGATATATAAATTGAACTGAACTGTGAAATGTAGGAAAAATGCTTAAATTGATATCCTTATTACATGTATTTACATCGCAATGCAGTGATGGAGTCAATACAAGTTATAAAGACTAGTGATGCACAAAACAGTACAGAAAAGAGTTCAGAAGAGAGTAGGCTTTAAAGTTTAAACACAATAATGTGAATCTGTTAAACCAGCATGTTCTAAAGATTAAGTTATCAGAATACATTTATTCATCTTTCCTACTATCTGCTTCTTCAAATTTCTCTTATATTTGGCGTAGTAGATTATTCATTTTTTTGGAATATGATTAGTGGTTATATAGATGTAAAATAAGGTGCCCCACATTTCATTTTCATCCTAGGGAGTCAATGAGGGTGATAAAAAATGACGTTTGTCTACGAAAAAACTCTTCTTAATCATTTAAAGAATCAAATAATATTTTACTGGTACACTGTATTTAACTTTTTAAAAAAATATTAGGACATTTTACCCTTACTTTGGACTTTCAGTAGGGCGTGACTTTCTCGACGCTACGTAATGGCGAATACTAGTAGATTCTCACTGGTTAGTTAATAACATCAGGAACTTAAAATTGCTGTTGATAAAGATGAGACGACTTATGCCCCACCTCTGTACCGTGAGAGAACTTTTAATTGGCTAATCACTACACCAGTTAAATTATTCGGCCGCATTTCTATCATATGTATATTTCAACAGTGAAGGGAAGCTGTGTAAATTTCAGAAGCTAATTAGGTAACGTCGAGAATGCCACGCCTTACTGAAAGTCCAAACTCAGCATGTAATGGTCCTAATGTGGAATTCACGGGATTTAGACTCAAGGATTAAAATACTGTGTCTCGTTTTTCTTTGAAACTAAAAGATGAACTTGACTCGTAAAACACTGGGCAACTGACGTCACACTTCTAAGGTTACTTAGAAGTATTCAGCGCTACTTTTGTCACTACCGAGAATTTTAAAATGGCTATGTCGAACCGTCCATACAGGCGAAGGCTGAAAAACGTATCTACTGAACCGTGACCAAGTGAGCGGTTTTATAGGGGCTCTACAACAATTCGTAATTTCAGGAATACTTGATCAGCTACCCAATTACAATGAAGAATATTTTTAGAGGAAAACGCTTGAGTGTGATATTACTATATCAAAGCAGCCTCAATTTAATTTTACACGAGCTGTAAAGTGTTGATATGAAAAAATCTTTTCTGTGAACGTGCGTGTTTGATAGATATTTCGTCCCTTGAAAAGTAGCAAATCAAAACATAAACCACGTACGGAGTATGCATAAATTTGACGAATTTGTACCAAATTTACCACTTAGGTTACCACAATTTAATTAAATCGAGGCTTTTCAAAATCATTGAAAGCTGCTTTTTCAATAAAAATGGAATTCGTAAATTTACTTGCATGCATCTTGTCATTGGTTACTTACAATATTGTTTTGCTCAAAAACACTCTAACTGTACACATAAGCAATCTCAAGTTGATATTTTAAAGATGCTTGAGTTTCTGATTGACAGCATCTTTGGTTGTTGGAAACCAGGTCTTCCAGTAATCTACTGGAATTCCCATAGGTACCAATTGCGTCCCGTTATTATAGCAGACCTCTTTTTATATTCATATAGAGCAGAATTTGTTCGAAAGCTTATATGTGAGAAGTAAGCACTTTCTCTTGCCTTCAACCCAACATTAAGATATATCAACGACGTAATGTCAATTAAAAATGATTGTTTCCATTCCTATGTCGATACGATATATTTCTGTGAGCTTGAAATAAAAGATACCACAGAGTCGGTCACATCTGTTTCATATTAAGATATTTTACTAAAAAAAGACGTTAACGGTAATACGACAAAACTTTATGATAAACGTACTTGAAGACTTTAACTTTTCAATCGTTAACTTCCCAGCAAAATACCAATATCACCTGCAAATGGGGTTTACATCTCTCAGTTGATTTGATACGCAAGGACAGTTCTATGCATGAACAATTTTTAAAACGATGTAAGTTATTGACAAACAAGTTGATGAACCAAGAATATGAGCAGTCTGTTTAAAGCCCTTCTTTCGTAAGTTCTGTTGTCGATACAGTTTACTAGTTTTTCAGCAAATACAATATATCATTAAGTCAAATGCTGACTGACGTTTTTCATACTTATTGCTTGGCCATTATTTACAAACTGAATTGTAGAGGATTTTTTTTTATTATTTTCCAGATCATGATAAGGACCACATGGCGGGTGTGACCGGTCGGCAGGGTATGCTCACTCCTCCATGATACCTGATCCTACTTCTGATGTTTTAAAGGTCAGTGTTTGTTCTGCTCCTTATTTGTATTGTTTAATATAGTTCAATTGACTTTTGAGCTTGAATACTCCATGTATTTTAAGATAAGAAGAAACATTAGAAGTTATACTTTGAACTCGTACTTATAATTTGAAGTTTACGGATTTAGTCCTAAATTAAATTAATGTCTTCTACAACGTCTAAAATTCCTTTGAATTATGATTTTATAGGATACTATCTGTTACATATAAGTTTAAAAATGAAACTTGTAAGATGTTATCATAACATTCAGTTTTACAAGAAAATACAATTTAAACGTCATTTAAACGGAACTAAATTCTCCGACGTACGAATTTTCTCAGTATATTGAAGTAAATTGGAAGATGCCTCTTGAATGAAAACAGGATTGATGTGATGCATGGGATTAGGCTCGGAAACAGCACACATCGCATGTAACAAGCTATTTCCTTTTGTTACAAAATGAGATCAAAACATGGATTTCCTGCCAGCTTTGATATGTCCAAACAAGAAGAATATCATTAAGACGAAGCTTTATTGGTAATATCATCGGTCTTCAAAGTCCTGTCTACTTTTAATTTTCTACGAAGCAAAAAGGATAAAGAAAAGCGATTGGTAGGATCCTCAGGTGGCCAATAGTGAGAGACGGGAGGACATTCGCCGAGTCTACAAGATACGGATCCAAATAACTCCAAACTAATGCGGAAATGAATGTCAATCAGTTATTTTCAATTGGAAGCAATCTTATTACACGTTTGAGTCTTTTTTCATTGGTATTGAATTATCTAGGTAAGAAAATTGAGGGAAATGTTGTTCCGAAATACTATATCATGAAGATTAGACATCATGTCAATTTATTTTACTACTATTTTCCGGTGCATGTTTTTGATACAAACATGCATTACATGAGCTATTGTTTTTATTTGTAGTAAAGCTCTTTGATATAATTTTTTGAAGAATTAAAGTTTACAACTTGATTGTATGTATACCACAGTACATGTAAAAGCGACACAAACAAAATTGGTTCTCATTGGTGCAAAGAGGTAAAATTGTGCTCGGAGAGATTTTTTAAGAAATTCAGTTGAGATTTAATTTTTGATGAAAACTCAGAAAAAAATACGTGTTACAAAAAGTCCTACCTGATATAAAAATGTCCTAGAAAAATACTGGTATGCAACTGAAGTTTTATCTGAATATTCTGTGTTAAAATTAGAGTAGGGACCTGCTAATACAAGCAAACTTCCATTAAAGGTATCTGTCTTAAATGAGTCTGAAAATAAAAAATGGACATTTTTTTCAAACAAATAGTATAATTCTTTATTTATTTTATAATGTGTATTCGTATATATTAATTTAATTTCAATTAAAAATTGCATTTCCTAATTTATACTTACATGAAGGCACGTGAGTTGTGGTGATGGTTGTATGAACAGGGGGATATGTCGTGTCTTTTTCTAAATAAATATATGTAATAAAAGTTAATCCTGGCGTTATGAAACAAATTTTTCTGATGTCTTAATTGATGTGATTTTTCGGAACAAAAAAAAATTATGTTTTTTATTTCTCAAAAAAAATCGCTTTTTTCTGTGTCCAAATGAATTAAAATATCGACATGACTATTAATTAAAAATAAATAGACACATACTTTGTGCGGAACTAATTAAATATCCAACTAAAAATCCAATGACGGCTACACAGCAGATGATGAATCCGATGATGCACAACTTTCTTTTTTTCGAGGCCTCATCCTTTTCTTGAAATTCAATTTCCGGAATGTCTTCGGCCGGAGTGTAGTCCTTGGCGCGTGGTTTCTTTTCCAGGACGCCATCTGGATTGAACTTTGACTCCTCTTGTTGAAACAACGGATTGTCGTAACAGGCCTGAAGAAGAGTAACATTTTCATCACATCCCTTATAACTTCTTAAATGAAAAACTTGCATTGGAATTTTATGAACAGTTCCACTCATGGTTTATCCTCTTAAATAGCTAAATTCAATCAATTTTTGGGGAGTACATTTCACATTGATTTATTTCAAGGAGAGAAAGGTAACCACATGATCGAACACTAAATGTCTTAGGGACTTTTAAAAAGACTGTCAACTGGAGTGGACGCGCCATCATAAGATTCTGATAAACGAAAAAAAGCTAATCAAGTATTCATTGGTTCCACGGATCGATCCCGTCTAACCAACTCAAGCTGTGTGTACAGAGTAATTATTGTCCGAATGTGCATACTACTTAGCCATCATTACGTGATCTTTACAGATTTCGTAAAAAAAAAAAATGGATCACTTAAACAGAAGGCTTTTAGCAAGCACTTGAGGAGGATTTCTTGATAGTTTTAAAGGAACAAATTGCAAAATTGCATGGGAAGTTGAAGAGACGAGTGGGAAACACAGCAAAGGTGTAAAGTTGTACTGCATGCTTATCTCTCACGTAATATCCTAATTTATGTTGAACACCAATTTCAAATTCAGCTTAGAAAAACAAAGCCAAGGTTTGGTTTGAACATATCTTTTTGATAAGATGTTAAAGCAAAAGGATCGGGCACAAGTTCTTGAAGTTTAGAACGTCCTCTCCTTAAAAAAGCCAAGGACAATATATTGTAAATTCTATGGTCTTTTTGATAACCTTGTTACCAAATTTTAACCATATTTTTTTTTAAAATTGAATTTGCCAAAGTAAACGGATATTCCTTCTACCTGATCAATACATAGCGCTTATACTGCGACTCTGAACGGTGGACAGGGGATGCTCACTCCTCCTTAGCACCTGACCCCACCTATAACACTTCCAAAAGTCTAAAAGTGTTTATGCCTAAATTTGAATTGATTTCGTTATCGTCACGTTTTTCATTAAAGAGTTTTCAACGAATTGATTAATCGCTTTGTCCTGAAACAAGGACAAGGATACAAGGTAGTGATCTCTCTAATTGTGTCTACACAGTTGTCATATCTATCAGTATCCAAGGTTAACTACACTGTAGATGTTAAAAGGCAGTAGTGTCCATTTAAAAACCAAACCTATGACTACGGTTACAAAGTACTTAATTTTCTTTGGACCTGGGCAACCAGTTAAGAATAAAAGAAGATATGTAGCTTAATAGTCTTTTATCTAAATATACACAAATTCTGTTTAATATAAAAAGTAAAAGTCTGCAATAAAGAGATAACAAACATATCAGTCTTATAAGTCGAAACAATACAAAATGGGAGCATGACAGACACGAATTCTTACCAAACAAAATAGGGTTAGGATCAGGGACCATTGATGAGTACAACCATTCACCTTGTCGAATGGTCACACTTATGATGATAGGGCGGCAAACGGAAATACCCCTGAGCAATTCAGTGAATAAAAAGCACTTTTATGGAAAAACGCTAGTCAGCATTTGACTTAATGATAAATTGCATTTGCTAACAAAACCATATGAAAAAAAAAAATCAAAATATTGTCTTGAAATGAGACTTTTGATATGTAACATCTAGTTCATGTTCAAAAAGTTTCTCGATGAAGTGAAAATTCGACATTGCTTGAGTACAAGACACCGCCTGTCATGCTCTTAAATTTGCATGGTGCTGCGTAGAACGTAAGATGGTTTGTGATTTCGTGGAAGGGGGGGGGTATATAATCATTTCTCGAAACCCACATTGATCCTCAGGTGAAATGAAAAATTCTGATGCCAAATTGCACTACTTAACAACACCGATATTCATATTCTGAAATTAAATTCGCTTTGTGTGAAATGTAAGAGGAGTTATGAAAAACAAGGTATTCATGAAAATCAAAGCAAACGAATTTTTTTAAGTTTTTCTTATTGATCCTGTAGAAGAGGAGAATTCTTAAACTATACGACAAATTAAAATGTTACGACCAGTCAAATTCCACAAGATAAACTGACAACTGTTTGTAATATACAGAGTTCTGAGAACAAAGAAAAAACGCCTTTTTTGACCTGGTGATATGGACTTTGAGTTAAGTATACTAGTTTGTTAGCATATAAATATTGCAGTTGACAATGGTTTTCGAGGGGTGAAAATTTTTCGATGTTACACTCAACTACATGCAATATTATATTATACTGAATGTTTTATACAAATACATATAACAATGAACCGTGCGCGCATAAATTCTGCGCAGTCGCTATTTTTTGGAATATCACCCGTCGTCAAGCAATGTTGACTGTTGCTACGCTGGAGAGCGTGGCTTGATTATTCAGCGGGTAATAGTGTTTTTTAACAGATTTTTCTCAACCAATCAGATTCGACTAATTTACATGAAAGTATAATATTCCAAAATATTGACGTTTTTATGATTTTGATATTTCACGTGCCAGGAAAATATCAAAATCGTGAAAAAAAGCCTCGAAAACGTTAAATATTTCGGACTAATTTAAGTATGTATAAGAAGCAAAAGAGAACATAAAAAATAATTTATTATCTGTCCATTTACCCTTCAAGTCGTATTTTAAATTTTGTTTCTTGCGAACTTACAGGAAAGGCGTGTCACACATTTATCTTATATTCATAACAAATGTGAGGTCTGTGCTGTAGAATAATTCAACGTCTTAAAAACCAGTGAAAACTAGAATGGGTTTATGGCCTTGCTTTGCCAAGATCATCGATATACCATAGATTATCGCTCTGAAGTTGCTACACATGTATATTACTCGAGACTTAAGGCTGCAGGGTTGTATAACTTATAGTTCAACGGCACTAATCACAATTATTTGAATGTCGACCGCATGATTAAGATCAACCATTACAAAGAATATATGGGGGAAGAATGTCGAAGATCTAAAAATTTGGTGCTAACGTCCAATATAAATCTACTTTACGACATTCTGCATATATAAACAATAACCAAGGTTCAACTAAGGTCAAAATGTAATCTTTAATTTGTGCCGAGCTTGCTCTTTTACTCTCAGTATTTGCAATTTTTTCCCCTTAATCTTACTATCAGGATATACCGAATAAGCAAATTTTTTACTAGGATTTAATTTTGGCATTATTAGCGAGGGTGCTGAGATCGCTAAAATTGAATATCGCTGAAATTTTATTGCTTTTTATTTGTAATAGCTTCTTAAGTGAGTATTTTAAAATCGTTAAAATTGCATCACGCTAAAAATAAAATACTAATTGTTAAGGACAAATCGCTAAATTTGCATCTCGCTAAAATTTCCACTTATATGGATTAAAATATGCAATATCTTCATAAAATTTTACATAAATTTAAGAAACCTGGTCAAGTCGTATATATAATTGAAAGGTTGAAGATAACAAAGTCATCAATCTTAAATTATCTATATTCAAAGCAAAATTGTGAAGTGGGCGGATCTTAAATAATCTGTATTCAATGCAAAATTGTGAAGTGGGCGGATCTTAAATAATCTGTATTCAATGCAGAATTGTGAAGTGAGAATTAAACACGGACCTCTGAAATATTCAGAGGTCCTAGGAGGGATAAGCATTCCCTTTTAACTGGTTACATCAACCGTGAAATGAATTGATCAAGAATATATTAAACAGTCAAATGTATAAAAACAAAGTTATAACATTTAGTATGAAACATGCCAAAATACGACCCAATAAAAGTTCATAACAAGATGTTAACAAGTTCATTATAATGACGATAGAATTTACGAAATGCTGACATTAAAAGAGGTTTTTTGAAATCCCTGTAATATCAACTTCTTAATGAGTAGCATGCTTCACTGTACAAATAGATCGTACTCAAGGCAAGCTCTCGAGTAGCGAATATAAACTCCCTAAACATATGCTTAATAATGTGAACCATTCAACGTCAATTTCGATTAATATGTGTGTCTCTCCAAAACATTATATTTTAGCCTTTTAATTGCTCAATTTTGACATGTTTCTTTTTTTATTTCTGGTTCTTTAATTTGCGTATGTATAAATAAACCTCTGCATATACTACAATTTATTTTTGAAATCCCAGAATTTATTTCTTTGATTACCGCCCAGTCCTGTAATAAATTTCTTTTTATTGCTGGTTCTTTGTGTATGTATAAATAAACCTCTGCAATTTTACAATTTATTTTGAAATCCCAAAATATGATTCTTAGGTTACAGCCCAATTCTGCGATGAATTCAAAAATAAACATAAAAGAAATATAATTAGCCATTTTATATTGTTCAAGACCTCGTTATTTTTCTCGTTTCTCTGGTTTAATTATTTAGATCCAGTTAAAAAAATTTAATTGTTCCCTTCTTGTCGATGAAAAATAAATTCTTACAGTATCAGTACAGAATTTAAAAAAAAAAGCAACTAAAGCTAGAAAAGTTTGCGATGTTCATTTTTTATTTATATTTATACCCGCTTTTGTACAATGCTTATAACAGATATGACTATACATATACATACTTTTTCGAAAATATACTTGATTTTGAGAGAATGAAACTCATTTTTGGGAAAATGCTAAGATTTTTTGAGATATTCCTCTTCTATAAATATTTTTTTATTTTTTCAAAATATAATCATTTTCATTTCAATCACTTTTTGTCCCACAAAGCATTTGAAAATTGTACATTTTCGTGTTTTATCAACTGGTACGGACACACTTCGCAACTTCTTATAAAAATTCTCTGTTTTATATGCATGTTAAATTGCACATTTCCGCAAAATAGATCACTCGTCCTGCTGGGCGAGCATTAATTTGCTATTGATGCATATTTCGTGCACTTCAATAAATGTCGTGGGTTGACAGAGGGTAATTCTTATGATACATAGCACTCTCAGCTAGGGTCAGCGTTTGGATATAATAACGCAGTAAGGTTCTCTAATTACCAGAATCAACATACTTTCGCGCTCTGGCACAAGCCGAGGAAGTGATTTTGACATCAATAGGCTCATTGTAGACTTGTGTGTATAACATTGCTTATATTTGTTTAGACTGATGGGAAGCAATTACCCTGCATGTGTTACATATCCAATTTTTATGCAAGAAACTGTCCATCGAAGATGAAGTGCGTTTCAGGAGATCTTCCTGATAGTGAACGATAATTTGAGGAACTAGCTATTCTAACAGACTTTTAGTCCTTGAAGTCACGAACAAGATCAATTTACAACATATTATACAATGGTTGGGATTTTAATGTACAAATAATCGTTTTGCTTTACATTGAATAAATTTCAGGTAATGATTTGTAACCAATTGTTACGATGTTGAGCAGATTTTCCTTCGCAAAAATACGTCGAAGTTGTAATTTAAATGCCCTGTCTTGGTTAAAGAGAGGATTACAATAAATTCTATATTTAATGAAATCTGTTATATTATTTTCAAATCCTATATCGCTGAGGACAGGTTTTCAATAAACACCAAAATCAGACATTAAAAATTAGATGCATCTCCCATCAAAAACTTTTATTTGTAGTTTCTTACCTGGAACAATGAACGTATAAAAGAGTATTCCCTCGATGGGTCCCTCCGTATGCGAGGCATAATGTTTTTATTTTCTGTAGTTCACATGGTCAGTATAAATTGATTATTAATAATAAATCGCCAGATATTGAATAATTCATTATCACATGCTGATCTTTAATTGCTGTTAATTATGCAGATCAGAAAATCGCATGTCTGGTACACGGTTGCACAAAAACTGCTATCTCCACTAAGGGTAGAACACAACAGTAATATCCCAAAATCGATAAGCCTTTCTTCTAGTGTAGTAAAAAATTCTCCTTAACGACAAATTGCACCTCTGATGTCGGATAAAAAGGACGCTGATTAGCAAAATTACATGCACTTTTTTTAAATTCCTTTCAAATCAGACATTCGGTCATAAGTGCAGATAGAGGAATTTTACGGTCGTTCGAGTGGACTCTGGCCAGCGTTGACTAGTTAGATCAATTTACACCGTTCTGTAGTTTAGTTGGTATGCAGATGCATGTGCTAAATTGTGAACATCTTGCTCCAATGACTATTAACTACTCGAGTCTGAAGAAACAAGCTTATGATGTCATTACCCAGTCTTTTTAAAAAGGCATTAGCAGAAATAAAAACCCTGGATTGATTGATTGTTAACTGCTTTGGAAGTTAGAGGTAATTAGTATTTAAAAACGTTTTTGTTCTCCATACGAAGTGGTAACAGACACATATGGTACAACTGTCACCAAAATGAATAGTGCTCTATATGAAAAATATTTTCTAACGATTTGGCAATGAAAATTAAGGCAGAAATTTTATCGAAGAATCGATAATGAAAAGGCAAAGGACCTTTGCATGGGTCATTCTTTGCAATGTTATTTAGAAAAAAAAATATTTTCATATTTGTCTTGCGTGATTTACTTTCGTTTCCTAAAAGGAAAATGACTTTATTGGCTGTCTTTGGGTAAAATATTTTGTTTTCGAATTCTTTAGTAGTAGTAATCTCTAGCCTTGACCTTATTTCTGCAGACATAATTGTGCCAAATTAGTCTAGTTATTCCTTTTATTGAACTATTAACGTGTATTCCAAAAGTTTACCAATTTAATCTAATCAACCCCTTTATTGGAACCATTTACATGCATTCTAAAAAACATAAATTTAATCTAGTTATCCCATTTACTGGAATTATGAACATGCATACCAAACTTTAAATTAACGATATAAGTGTCCAACCTTTCTTACAAAGTCCGCATTGCTTTTTTTTTAGTTAAACGCTCAATCGGTCGTCCCTTAATATTTGTATTAATTGTGTTAAACGATTTCAGCATCTCTCGAACGGCTAAGGTAATTTTATCAAATTCGGTCTTTTGAGCACCCAATGATAAAAGGATAGAAAATTGTGAATTACTGTGTAAAGAAAAAATTTCGTCCCCTTTTTATCTTCGCCCCTTTTGTCCTAATAATATGGGCGAATTTAAAACAGGACGAATTCAAAGAACAATGTATATAATTTCTCTGACAACGCGATTTTAAATGGGACGAAATTGTTTGCATGAAAATAAAACGGGACAAAAATATATATTAATAATATACTATAAATAGTATATAATATCTCACTCCCTGGGACCAATCATCAACATTAATAACTTTTCCTTAATAACTTATTCCTGGCTATCAATCAGTCCAAAACTGGACTTGTCATAGTAAGCAAAGATTGTTGTGTCATAATTGGCCCCTGAATACAGGGTTTAAACTTCAGTGTGGGCTGAGTTTGTCAAACATATCATTTAAAAATCCTTTTCTTTACTGGCATGTTTTGAAGGAACGCTCAAATATTGTTTGTTTGTATGTTTTTTAACGTCCCTCTCGAGAATTTTTCACACTTATAGAGACGTCACCATTTTCCAGTGGAGAGCTGAAAATTTAACCTATGCTCGGCACTCAGGGCAAATGAGTAGTGAGGGATCTTTTATATACCAGCACCTACTGCGACACGGGACCTCGGTTTTACGGTTCATCCGAAGTACCAGTCTCCACGTCCCACCGTGGGATTCGATTCTGCGAGGTTTGGATCAACTCTTTATTCAATGACTCTAGAGCATACGCTCTAACCACTGCACTAGCTGCAGAACTGCATCGTTATGGTTTTCTCCGCACGGTTGGGGAGATTTTCTCCACTTTCCAACATAGGTCAATCAACTACTCTTCATTCCCTTATTTTATACATTTATTTTTTAATCAACCTGTGTATTTAACACACCCATCCTTACCCTTCAAAGTCTTCTCTACAGACCAATGGGCTCCTTTTTTTCCGACATCCGACTAAAAAAATCAAAGCAAAAGTTTATTGGTCCGTCGTGACGACTATGAAGGGTTAAGAGACGGATAAAACAAACAGGTTGGTAAAGAAATATGCCTAAAATTAGCTAGTGAAAGATAGTTGATTGAAAAATCTTCAACCATTCGCAGAAAATCTTGTCATAATGTTACAGGTCTGCAGCTACCACTGCACCACGCAGGCGAACTCAAATATCGTTGTGGTAGGTTAAATCATCTCATGTACCCCTGCAGGTATATATACTAAAAGGAAAAAGAAACGCAGGGTAAACTTTTGAGGTGAATTAAATTTGTTTTTCTTAAAATACTGTTTAGTTTTTCTATCTACCTTTTCAAATCATGTTTCAAAAAGATATAACCAAGTTCTCATATGATTTTGACTAATAATTCATGTGTTATTGAAGCTCAAATGACGATACCCCCCAAAAGTGAAAATCGAAAACTCTCATTATCTTCAATGTCTATCTCATGCATTTGTCAGAGTCTTGTTTCTCCTTTGCATGGAATTTCAATAGAGTGTTTATCTTTCAAACCCTGGCTATATTTAGCATGGGTGACCACGCAAAAAATAAGTCAAACGGCGCGCGCATGCGCGAGTGAGAGGAATACAACCGTAAGTTGACTGGCTCAAAAAACCAAATTGCGGAATTGTTTTCTTTCAAATTTCGTATGAATATAATGATTATAATCGTTTACTCTATAAATGGCTGTTTTTGTGGTAGTAAGGTGGCGATTTAAGAGATGGTAGGGCGAATAACCCGCTCGTAAAATGGCTTTATTTCGCGTTATCGTCATCGTCACGGTTGATTGAAAATCATTCCAGACCTTCGCTGACAACGGGTAAAAAGTTTTATGGGGGAAAATTTATAAGAGACTGCTTAGTAAACCGTTGTTGCCTTTTTCATTAGTTAGGCAATTCGAAAACAAGACCCCATTGAACTTCCGTAAACTAAGCCAAGATTGCAATAAATTCATAATGTGTCTTAATATTGAAAAACGATGTGCATACCTCATATGCATCAAATAATGCAACAAGATTTGTTGACAATCTCGTCGTTATCAAATTGCACGTGTTTTGGGCTTTTTAGCGTTTTCCCTACATGACGTCATAAATTTTACGGTTGAGTAATTCCGAATACTGATTTTAATGCACAGTAACTAAATCTCCCTTCTGACCAATTTTCGGTCATGTGGTCAAATTTTTATCGAAAATTATGCTACCCTGCGTTTCTTTTTCCTTTCAGTATATTTAATCGTTTTATATATAGATATGCCTCATGAATACGAATTTCTACAGAAGATTGAAAATGAAACAATTTTGTCAGTTCAGTTACGAAATATATCTCCTCAGCTGGTTAGCGCATGGAAAGAGATATCTAAAAAGTTAATGATTAAAGTATCTTCTGTGTTTATTTAAATATGATTATATAAGTATTGTTTGTATATACCTGTATCAAGGAGAGCAATGTAAGAATACCTTTTAGGCTGTCCTTAGATCATTCAAAACATTTTTTTTTCTCTCAGAAGATGCATCAGTTGCATACATTGCCTAAATCACCGTTACATATGAGTCAATGGTTTGAAACTAATTGACTCCATTTGACGGTACAGAGAGTAAAAACACTTTTATGAAAGTTGTTCATTCGTTAATCTGATTGCAAATGATAATCAAATTCCTGAAAATGTTTGCATCTTAGTCTCAGTTAGAAAGCTCCTTGCCTGCCAAAGGACACGAAGGAGGATAATGAAACTAACTTGTGTGTCGTGGTTATTCCATCATGAAATTTAAAAATTTGTTGTTTCAAGTTATTAGCAATCTAAACTAAAGAACACATTTTTTGCGGTAGAAAACTAACGAAAACTTGGTCAAGTTGTAGTTCTAAATATACTATATCTGTGTACCTGCATAATCAAATATCTTAATTAAACATGCCTTCTGGCACATGTAAGTGGATAGATAATGATACACGCACAGCTCCCGTTTTTACTAGTATATAAAAAGAGATGTATTTAAATTATCCACTATATGTATTCTTTTTACGACTGTATTCCGCTCGTTTTTTTTTGTTTTTTTGTTTTTTTGTTTGTTTTTACCAGAAGAGCTTATGCGATAGTAATGCGTCCGGCGTCCGTCCGTCTGTCTGTCTGTCTGTCTGTAAACAATTTTTCAAAATGCTACTCCTCCTACAGTTTTGGTCTAATTTCAATATAACTTGGCACACAAGTACACTACAATAAGATACATAATTCTGTGTATCGGTTTTTGATTTCGATAAACGGTGTTGCCGTGGTAACTAAAAATAAAAATTTCTGTGAAATTCCTTTAAAATGCTACTCCTCCTACAGTTTTGGTCTGATTTCAGTATAACTTGGCACACAAGTAGACTACACCAAGATACATAATTCTGTGTATCGGTTTCTGATTTCAATGAACGGTTTTGCCATGGTAACTAAAAATAGAAATTTCAGTGAAATTCTTTTAAAACGATACTCCTCCTACAGATATGGTCTGATTTCAATATAACTTAGCACACAAGTAGACTACACTAAGATACATATTTCTTTGTATCGGCTTTTGATTTTTTTTTAACTAAAAATAGAAATTTCTGTGAAATTCTTTCAAAATGCTACTCCTCCTACAGTTTTGGTCTGATTTCAATGTATTTTGGCACACAAGTAGACTACACCAAGATACATATTTCTGTGTATCGGTTTTTGATTTCGATAAACGGTGTAGCCGTGGTAACTAAAAATAGAAATGTCTGTGAAATTCTTTCAAAATGCTATTTCTCCTAGAGTTTTGGTTTGATTTCAATATAACTTGGCACACAAGTAGACTACATTAAGATACATAATTCTTTGTATTGGTTTTTGATTTCGATAAACGATGTTGCTGTGGTTGCTAAAAATAGAAATTACTGTGAAAATCTTTCAAAATGCTA